ATATGCAATTACATAATTTGGCAATTCCAATTTAACCAGTCCCTGTGGACTGAAGTTTGCTCGCTTCCCGCGCATCATGTGGGTCTGGATGAATGGGAGTCTTAAAGCCAACATATTGAAATTCGGACAACCAACAAGACTGGATGTCTCGAGAATTTTAACCAAATTGAATGTTTGACCCCTTCCTCTCACTAGCAAACCGGGGATACGGGGAAGGACGGGAACAAACTTAACAAAGTCAGCAAAACAACCAGGCTGCGGACGCAACACCGGCCAGAAAGCGGCAGATGGCCATTCTGGCAATATTAAAGTTGCCTTTCCTCTGCAACTCTGAAGATGACGAATAGCGGGAATTACAAGACTGACGGGAGGACATACCCAATTATTTTCAGTGGACCAATTCTGACAGAATGCGTCAACGGCCTCTGTACCGGGGTTCCAAGCTGCTGAATTGAAACGTGGCAGCTGAGCGTTGTGACAAGACGCAAATCTGTCAATGCTATGCGGGCCCAATATTTTGTCCAACATGCCGAAAATCTTGGGATTTAGTGACCAATCGTCGGTATCAACAATTCTACTCAGCATATCCGCTTGTTCATTCTCGGATCTCGGTAGCCAAGTCGCCTGCATGGAGTTGAATATCATTCTGACAACAGATTTGAAAAATTTCAATGGCTAACTTCTGAAGAGATGGCTTTGCACTACCGACAGAAATTATTCTACAAGCATTCTGGTTATCCGAAAACCACCTAACTTTTCTATGCCTCAAGGTCAACAAAAACGAAGTTAATACATAAAGTACAGCTTTTAACTCGCGAAATGTGGAGCTCTGTACGCGTTCTGTTTCATCCCACAACCTGTTAGAATAAAGAATTCTGAATTATAACTAAAGTGACCACCATAACCAGTGTCGCTTGCGTCTGAAAATACAACCGCAGTTGCCGAGAATTTGGGTTTGATACGAAAATCGTTTAGAGCGTCCACAGTACTCAACCAAAACAAAAGTTCCTGAAGCACAGGTCTAGATATATTAACGATCTGCGACCACGACGATCGATTCTCAATAGTAAAATACACTTGCCTCGTAAATAGACGAGTAATCGGAGCAACAGCGATGGACAAAGATATCAAAAAACCGGCAATGCGAGCCCCAACCATTCACCGATTTGAGCGGGGTCCCAGCGACTTTTCTGCTCGTTAACTTTAAGACCATATTTATGCAAATCAGTTCGTTGAACAATACTGTACTAGCTGCTCTAGCAGATGTCAGACAATCGTGACCAGAAATACCGTCGTCTACATACACTATTGACGCGTGTGACATACTACGCCATCTCTTAACCAACGGCCTTAGAAGCTTAGTAAAACAATAACAGGCAGTGCTCAAGCCGAACGGCAACACATTGAATGTAAAATACCTGATCTCACCGTCAAAATTCCAACAAAAACGCCAAAACTTGCGATGTTCATGCCAAATATCAACATGGTGATAGCCGGATTCAAGATCCCAAACAAAAAAATAAAAGTTGTCGGAGAACTGTCGAGAAAACTGGCGTGAAACACAGCCATTGGCAAGTAATGTATTGATTGCTTGACGAACGAATTGGGGGGGGGGGGGCTTCCTGCTGGACAATTTTTTTTTTTTTTTTCACAAACTGCGGGGGATAATTTGAGAAAGGTAAATGGTAACCAAATGCAATTAATGAACGTACACAAACTGGGCAGGACAAAGAATTTTGCTAGAAAGACAATGAGCTCTTTAGCCGCCCGACCACAGACCGTGACAATATTTGCTCAAAATTGCATGCATTTAACTCCATGTTATAAACGCTAGGCGAAGCCGGAACATTGGGATGAGAAAAAACAATATTGCCCAAGCCAAGTGTCGCCGAATTAGGATGGGTGGCCTCCCTGGATTCGGACGGTAGACTTTTTGTCGGCAAGCCGCAAGCATCTGTTCTGCAAGTGTCCAAAATCTCCGCACCTGAAACGGGGACCAATCCGGAATTCAAAAGCTTGTGATCCGTGACGTGCATCTCTGAACAAATTGCTACTAGTATTCAAATTCTGTTGACTGGGTTGGGTTCGGCGATAGCGCTTCTTTTGTTTGATTTTTGTCCCTGCACGTTTTTCGGAACGCTGAATACGTTTTTCGTCATCAGTGTCAGAGGCCAACTCATCAAAAATGTATTCATTCACTGTGCCCTACCCAAATCGGTTCACTGAGGCCTTCCGTCGGTGTGGACATCTTGAGTTGTTTGCAACCGAGACTGAATACAATAGAATACTCTTCTTACTATATACTCATGAGCACCTGGCTACTTAGCCACTAACCAATCGGAGCAGGTGCAATGACACCTGAATAATTTACATACGAATAGGTAGCAATTATCTGCTAATCTACGAAACGCAGATAATTTCTCATTCTACTCCGTCATGAAAACAAAACATGCAATTTACTTGACACTTGTTTTTAATAAAACACACAAGATAAATTTGTCAAAATTGTGATAAAGCATTTACATGTCAACTGCCTCAGTGGCCTAATGGATAAGGCGTCGGTCTCCTATTTGTGAAGTCAACCGAAAATTGTGGGTTCAAGTCCCACCAGGGGTATTTTAAAACCCCTTCAGGAATGGCTGAAAGACCCTGACTTGTTGATTCAACGTCCATCCGCTCCTGTATCTCGGACATGCTTGTACCGATTACAATAAAATTTCATAGACACAAATGCACAAGTTTGTTTCCCATAATCAACTGAAAATGACAGAATGGTCAAAATCAAGTATATCTGTCATTCGGCTGTTTCCAGAATCGCAGATATACTCATTTCAACTCCGTCATGAAACCAAAACATGCAATTTACTTGACACATATGTTTAATAAAACAAACAAGATAAATTTGTCAAAATTGTGTTAAGGTATTTACATGTCGACTGCCTCTGTGGCCTAATGGATCTGGCGTATATTAGTTTGAAGTCGTCCCAGTCTGAAGATTGTGGGTGAAACATGAACTAACATAAACAGTTACGTTTATTTCTTTAAAACGAGCTCACCCATCATCACATGTTGTATGTAAATCTCATAGTGAAAGAATATTATTTTAATCTTCACATTATTAATATCAGTTCATTCTCAATAAGTATGTTTTCAATAAAATACGTTTCGAATTTTCTTTCTTTTATTTACTTCGACATACCAGACCAAGCATGTCTTCTGCCTCCGTAGTCGTAATTTTCCAAAAATGCATTTCGATTTATTTTCTTGGAACGCGAATGTTTTAAAACCAGTTCTAATGAAATAAATATGAAAAATGTATCAACCATGAAAATAAATGTACCGTGTTTTAATAAATAATTTTTTAATAAATAGCACTGATCGATTTCTTTGAGCCCTCAGGTGCTGACAGCACTCCTTGCCTCAATTTTAAGACAAATCACTATTAATTAGGGTTTTTCTTAAAGGGTGATGGTCGTCGCGCCACGCATGCGCGAGATAGGATTCTGATATGAACAAAGATGGCGACGTTGGTTGTTGCGTCGACCAACGAGTACAAACTAAAGCGTTTTTAAGCTTTAATTAGGTAATTTCTTTGGTGATTGGAAGTTATCGAAGTCACCGGTGGTTCACGTTGCGCGCATGTCAAAATCGTACTTCCGATTTACATTAAAATGACGCATTGGATTGTAGGAAAATAAATATTTATCGATACAACTGTCTTACACGCGAAGCGCGACGACCGCCGCCCTTTAATGTGTAGCACTATTTGTTCATCGTTAAGGCTGACCTCCTGACCTCCAGGATATTCAATTATCTTGATTTGTCGAAGCGCCCCCAACGGGTAGGTAACTCGCGGGGCTTTTCAATTTCAACATGGCGTCTAAGCGATCGCTCTACAGACCTGCTCCTGAAAATGTTACCAGCAAACAGACTCGGTGAGTGTCAAACATCAACAATTCCCTGTTTTCTGCGTAAAACTAGCCTTCATAATCGCAGGATTTACCTATTCGATCGAAATGAATATGTTTGTAAATCGTGTTTACTTGTCATTTTCGAAATGTGCACAGGACTTCATCGTGTTTTGACTTGTGTGATCGCTCTGCCACTGGGCAGTCTTTACGTTGCTTGGTTCGTG